CTTTTGCAGAACTAAATAAATCAGGTGAACCTATTTGCTTTTCCTACTAATGCGATGTGTTCAATAAGCATGAAAATTTGGGCATATAGTTAATTAGTAGAACCCAAGAAAACGTTCTGTATCTGCAGTTCACCCTCACGTATATATTCGTTTGCGATTATGCGAGGAATATTATCGTTAATATTTCGGTTACTCGCAAAATTGGATATTTTTTAAAGTAAATGTGCTACTTGAGGAGCATTCGTCTCAATTACGGACGGACGTGAGGTGCTCATATTTTTTTAAAATAAATTTAAAATTATTAGATATTCTTAAAGAGTACATTTTTTTGGATTCAGCAGCCATAAAAAACAATCAAATTTAAGGGCAAAATCAAAATTAATGAAAATAGTTTAATTAATTTCATAATTATACTAGTTTGATCTTGTTTTTTATGTTACCATATTTAAAAAAGTCCATTTTTTAATAACATTAAAAAAAGTCACCATCTTAGTTGTGTATACTCCTCGGTAGACGTACGCCACTATACTTCATTTTTGAGCATTTAGATTTACTTAAATTTTTTTAATTGATCTTTGACACAATAAATTGCTTTCAATAACTAACAAAATAATGTTTTTTTCAACGCAAACTATAATGAAATTATTAAATTAATTAACACAACCGTTTTCCTTAAATTTGAGCTTTTCTTTTTAATTTGATTCTTAAGTTGTAGGTAATTTCTGATATAAAACACATTCATTATTAATTGTGGACTGTAATCTGTATAGCTACATGCTCTTTGCTATAAACCCATTACTCTACTCTCCTAAAACGTGCGCTAACCCCCGCTCTTGCTATACATGGCGGTTGTTTTTGGATTTGAATGCATAAAAGTAACAACCTAACATTAAAAAAAATTAAGCCCCCTCTGACCATGCAGAAGTATTGACCACGCAATTAAAGTACGTAGATTGGTAGCAAGCTTTTTATAGTTTTAAATACCATAAAAAGCTTAAAAAAATGCAGTGTTAAAGTCAACATTTTCGTCCTGTATTGAGAAACAAGGAACAATTTAGATGCATCGATCAACATAATTACAAAAACATTGTTTGAAGATTTCAGTAGATAATACGTATCGACAGACTCAGATACTCTACTTGTTCCCGCAAATCTTTTAATGATTAGATAGTGTTGCAAACATCTCAGATTTTAAATAAGTCCACAGGAAAAGTCAGAATTTGAGATATTATAAATTAAAGTTGCTCCGTCGTAGGGGTTAATAAATAACCCATCGTGGAAATTTGCGAAGCGTCAAGTTCGGTCGGCGGAATTTGGAAAAAAGATTTCTTTTCGTCTACGTGACGGGACACCCCCCCCCCTCCGACTGCATTCGGTACCTCAGTTACTTTCCATTGTAGGTAATATAGTTCGAACCATATGTTGTATGTACCTATTAGAACACGGCAAAGCGGTAAAGAGATAAACCAAACAGTGATTCATCATCGGATGATATGTATGTGTCATAAAATGTACATTCATTAAAACACATGCAATTATACTCCCCAATCCAAGGAAAGGCGACTAATAAAATAAACCCAACGAAGTTCTTGAAAAAGTAGACAGACATAGGTACAGAAATTCAGTAACCTCTTCCCTTACCAGAGTTACAAATATCGTGAATTATAAGGACCTTTGCCTGTCTTCTAACAAAAAAACGCATATGCGTGTCAAAACGATATTCAATTTTCTTTGCAGTACCAATTTAATGCACTTCCAAAGTATGTAAGGGTAATATTGGTATTATGAACAAACAGCCTTGCAATTTCAAAATTAACGCGATTACAAAGCAAAATTTAATGAAAACTACATGCTAAACTCTACCTTTTTCTGTAAGGCAGCATCTTCCATTCACCACCATAATCCAAAATCCACCCCGACAAAATATCACAACCGTTATTATATACGCACACAAATCCTGCCGCGAAATAACTGCCATAATAGACAAATGGAATTCAAGATTACTCGGCGTTATCAGTTACCTACAATTAAACGAGTTTTTCGATTTACAGGTATCGGTTCTATGCCGTATGGTTTAATAACCTTATCTCATTTTAATTTTTCTCAGCAGCGTTTCAAATTCTTTTGCACGTAGAGAATGAAATATTTCACCCTATACATGCAAATTTTGCTATAGGCATTTAATATAAAAAATTATAAACTTATGAAGTCATTGACGGGCGATACAAGTCCAAAAACCATGATACGTGCGATACTTCTTTCGTTCGCTACGGCAAAAATGCAAAAGGTAGTCTCATGGGCTCCACCAACGCGTGATGCAAGGGCAAGCAATTTCAACGGGTTTATTTTTATGAAAGTACAAGGCTGAATAAATAGCTAAATCCTCAGGAAGAAATCAATTCCTGTTTCATACATCTACTGCTCTTTTCCCAAAAATAAGGTAATCCCTCGGGTAATCCTAGAATGGTGAGCTTTGGTGTAGTGGTATAGTGCAAATGGTGATTAAGTCGTCAGTTGCGAACACTCATTAGGCTTAATACCTTTTAGAAAAACGTGTCAAATTTCATATTGCGCATTGTACAGGATATCCACCTAAAACTCACGCCCTAGTAAATCAGTTTTTTTTAAATACGTCCAATGTGTACCTATCGATCATTTTTATTCATTTGGCCTTCTGTCGCATGATAGGTCTTCTTTCGTTTAATAAAATAGGATTTTGAAACTGAGTTTATCACCTGGCTAATTAGAAATACATGTTTAATTGAAATAACACCTCCCCACTTTAATCTAGGAATGCCTAAGTAAGGACCAAGTGGAGTAAAGTTTGATTCCCTTTTGAGGCGGTTTAGGTTTACTAAGGGCTGGAAAGTTGTTGGGACCTTATAGAGTCATCTCTTGCCCCTTAATGTAAAATTGGTAATACCCGTTTTGCATTTCACTGCAACGTAGGTACTTATTAACTTTTACCATTAATCTCTATTTGAGACAATTTATAATCAATGATGATGGATAGTCATCGTTTGCAACTTGGAAAAGCGATAAATCTCTGTTAAATAAGTTATAACAGAAATTAAGACTCTTACTACAGGTATTTGTGTATATACCTATACGAGTACGTAAATTGTGTTTCAAAGACTATATAAGGTTAGGTCAAATTGCTTGATGCCTAAGTTATGAATGCAATTTGTCACCCATTTTTTGTGTCATTAATTCAATAGCAGTAATTTAAACCTGTACACAACGGCATGACCAAAATGTTGACTTGATCTTATTACCAACGAAGGAAATGGTTTAATTATGCAAACTAAAGTATTCTTATAGTATGTAGCCGGATAAACAAAGAAATTCGGGATAGGTATTATAAAAACAAGGGACTTACTGTCGTCAATTCTTCATTTGTGTATTAATTGTTGCACCACCACAATCACAAATAAACGAGTTAACTTTCGCGATCGATATAAGACTGACTAATTTTCGCATTTTGAAAATACGCTGGCCTTATGCTTATCTCGTCCTCCGCTCACGTTCTGCATCGTTTAACAATAAGTCACCTAAATGCAATTAAAATACATGTAACTTGAAATATGTATTTGGAGGCTTTGGGAGAATTGTTCGATTCTCCTCAGATCTGATGTAATGTAATATCGTTTCTAATTATATTAAAGTAATTTTGAAAAAACGTGGTATTAGAGAACATGCACCCCATACAGGATTTGTGACTAGATAAAGTAAAAAACAAGCATATGGTGTAAGAACAGCACAATTTACGGAAGTGTAAGTGCTTGGTGTACAAATTTTGTAAAACTGCTTGACTGATCCGTACAATTTCCTTTTCCGACACGTACCAAACTGTGGCTCGCCCAGTTACTGGCAGTTTGTATGTATTTGAAATAAGTTGATGGGAATGTTTGTCATAAATAAACGCGGGTGTACGTGGTTCCAAAACTGCATGAAATTCGTTTATGGAGATCGATCTACTGATGCGTTCTTATGGTGTCCTCCCATCTAAAACAATAAGCTTACGGCTGTATCGCTACTAGATATATTGTTCTAATTTTAACGCTATTTGGTTCGTTATCGTTAGAGGATTGCACCAAGCAAGGAATTTTTTTGTCTGCGTTTATTATTAAAAAACAGGATTTTACGTTTTACAGTTTACCAGGACAGTTAACGCAGATCCAACTTTTTTACTTATGGACTAATTTTTTAAAGAGAAGCTGCATAATAAAAAAATTGAAATGTGTCAAAAAAAGTAGTTTGCGCATGGACAGCACAAGTTTCTTATTTGTGGACTATTTTTTTCCAAAATTTTAACTGAAGAGCCTTTTTATAGAAGTGAATTGAAATCACGTGTGAAAAAATACATTCTACATGCGCAGATAAAACTTTTTTATTTGTGGACCACTTTTTCTAATATTTTAATTGAAAATGAATTGGAACCATGTGCCAAAAAATGGAGTGTGTATGTGCGCAAAGCCATCCTTTTTAGTTGCAGACGGATTTTTCCAAAATCTTAACAGAAGAGCCTTTCAAATAACGATTGGTCATCAAAATCCCTGAAACGAATTTGTCTAGGGGGTGACTAATTTTTTCGGAAAAGAGGCTATTGTGGAAATGCGCTTTACGATTACTTTTGCAACTTTATTTTTGCGTTGTACGTTTAGGGGTGTGCTCTTTAGGTGAACTTTTAAAGGCGGCAAACAAAAGGCTTAGTTTTTTGAAAGTGCAGTTTTAGTTAGTCAGCGAAAATGCAGGATTTCGATTTTGTTTTCAAAAATAAGACAGTCAAATAAATATGTGGTACGGCCGTCGATTTTTCTAGTATATTAAGCTAAACTGGCCCTTCAAAAGAGTAGAGTTTTTTTTCTTTTTTCCCCCCCTCAGATAAATCAAAGGGAAGTCTTCATTTGTCGCATAGCCAGCATTCCTTTTTTCACCTGCATAGTATGTGCAACTCGCGCTTGTACTGGAAATGATCAGGTCCGAAATAATAGGATAGCTACAAGTTTTAATATTTGATTTATTGCTTTAACCCAATACATGAAAACTATGTCAATGGCAAAAAATACAAGTAAAATACATACTTGTCTTTACATCACGAGATTCTACTAAACAAAAAAACATACGTAATTGTACTAAAACAGCAAAATTCTTTAAACTGAAAAATTAAAAAAATATATACCAATTTTATCCTGTCAAACGGTATGCAGGCTAATTTTTAGTGATAATGATAACTATATGTAAAGAAAGGGTTGCTTCGCTATTGTATTTTGCTGAATCAGTTCCACGTCGAATTAAATATAAAAAGTTTGTATTGTAAAACTTAACAATAGTTAATAATAACAAATAATAACAACCACTTGAACTACTAAATCTTGGACAGAAATAACTTTAAACATTGATAAGTATAAACAACTAAACAACTATCCTCTATTCTATAGTAAATAAAGAAATTTGATGTGTGCTAGATTACAAATCTAGGTGGTACACGAAAAATTTTACAAAAATCAAGGGTTACGCTACCATTATTTTTACAATATTATGTTTTGGCTACCTTATCTAAAATTTTCGTTTAACACCGCATTTTTACCGTTATATAAAAAGGAACACGTTTACTCTAATCACGCTGATATCCTGAACTTTGCTAATAAAACAATGTACAATTTTTATGTAGTTTTCTTTTGATGATATGTTATTTCCGTTATTATACCCCGAGTATGATGCTATCAAACGTTTCTAAAATAGATATGAATTTGCACTTTTGCACTAACAAGAAACACCATTGAGCCAAAAATTTTCATTCAAAATAGCTTCTATCCTACACACCCACACATATACAATTTTTAATTAAAAAATATATAAAGAAAGTGTCTCTCTTAATGCAAAATGCGTCCGAGTTTTTACACGACGTTTTGATTTACCGTGCGTTTATAACAAAGTAAAAATGTTTTATGCACTGCTTTTTGTTAACAATTTTCAAATCAATTCCAACATAAAAAAGTGAAGTAGTTCAAGTTAATATTCTTAGACCTTAATTACCTACTATACAAATGTACATACATTTACATGTACACACCCCTAAGATATGTACGTATTAGTTTTTGACTAGGATTTCTAGTATAATTTGAAGTATCACATGTACGGCCAGGAGAAGGAACTTCCCGACAGAAGCATATCCCGAATTAGAGTTTCTATAGGAGTTTTACCCACCAGTCTTACAAAAAACAGCTGTTCAATAACTGCCGAACTGACAGTCCGTAAACTGGGCAAACGTAGCAGTAATTTACCAAATCTAGTTGGCTGATTTGGATATTGCGTTCTACAGTACTCTTCTAGGGCACACTGAGATTTCTCCTGAAGAGATTCGATGTGAGACACGTCACTTAAGCCGCATGCATCTGTAACAAAAAAACCAGTTATAGCTATACAATTCGACATATTTCAATTATTTATTGAAGGATACAATCTACGAGTACTAAAAGCTGAATGTTAATCAGAAACTTTTGGTGCAATTTAATTTATATCAGTGTTCTTATAAAAGAGTTGAAGTTCTTTATGATCCCTTGCCGACAATATAAAGTTTGATGCAGATGCTTTATATTAGGAAGTTTTAATTAGTGGTATTGCCATTAAAACCTGCTGAATCCGAATTTACATAACGAACAATGTTTTATTAATTCAAAATTATGGGATTTTCGTCGCCAACAGTTGCTCTTTAGAGCTGTTTAAGAAAATATGTATGGAAGTTGAGTGTAATATAGAATTGTCATAACTTTCTTATATCTTACACACCGCGCTTACTGTGCGATTGCTACCCTCAACTACAACTATCACTAAACCAGTTTAAAAGGCCAAACAACCGCCCTAAAGCACAATTATTATTCGGTGGGGTGCGCAAACTTGTCAAGTTTCTCACGTTTTCTTTGATTGAAACTAATCGCCAGGTTTTCGAAACCTTCATTAATAAGCGACCTTTCTGATTTAATTAGATGTAATTTACTGGAGAAGTACTGCCAATATTAATTTAGCGTAAAAAAGGGAGAAAAATGATAATGATGAATGAAGTTTCTTCTTCAAGATAAATTGGTTCATCACTATACCAGTAGGAGGTCAACGACATATAATCATATAGAATAACAAAAATGAAACTTCATTAAGGACCGAGCCAGAATCTCATCAACACATTTTATGCATCTCAAATTTATTCTTGATAGCTCTGCATTTTTAATTTTTAGCTTGTCGGATACTTAGTATGAGGTACTTAATTTCAATTACCGTAATTAATCTGTTTTGAAAAATGTGGCCACGTTAGGGCTTCTCTAACGAAGTGACACTTGGAACTAAAGTTGATTAAACATTGTTTGTTTAATTAAAAAAATTACGTACTACGTAATGAATGAATGTAAGAGTGAAGTCGCTTCCTTATCTGGGTAAATCATGTGGTTTTTCAGAGAGTGAACCTATTAATAATCATAATTCTGTACAATTCAAAACAGAACGTAATGTCCACGGTAAGATTTTAATCTCCGCGCGCTTACGGCCATTCATAAAAATCCTACGTAGCCTAGGATATCTCCATAAACATGCGAATATCTCATCATATTTAGATGCAATTATTTTAAAAAAATGCACAAGAAAAACTTACAGTTGCGATTATAAGGCGTTATACGTCAACACAAGAGACGTTCGTTACACTACAGCGAAATTAACGGGGAGGGCCCGCAGAGATTAATTTAAAAAAAACCTTTATTGATGAAAATTACAAACATTCTTTTTCGCGGAGACTAATTCTTAATAATCGGGTAAAATTAACAACATTTAAAAATGTGACGTAATTAAAATTATAACTGATGGTTGTAAGTATTTATTAACGTGTAAATGTACTTAAGGACATTTTTTCTTCATAAATCTTAGTTTCATTACGAGTATTTGATTTCAATCGGAATTCTCACAGCATAGCAGCCGCTGCAGCAGGGGTTGGGTAATGAACTTTGGGGGGTCCTGAGTTAGCACTGGATACTTAGGGTACTACCTGATTAGCCAATGTTAGCCCTAGTATTTCAAACAATGTTTCATATGAGGAACTCAAAAAAACTTAAAACTTCTGTCTGGCATACCGCTCATTGGTGCAGGTGTAAACGACCCAAATTACCGGCTCGTGTATACCTTTCCCAGACAGGTATATAGCGCTGATGGATCGTTTTGCGAGTTCTTCATGAAGGCGAAGGGGCAAAAGGGCGCTATAAGCATAGCTAAAAGCTATTCAGATAACGCGGCGGATATCTTAGATTTCGTCGTCCCATCGAACAAGATTAAATCACGCTTAAAAGCTTAGCAGTCAATTAATTCTGAACTTGATTTACAAATTTCTGATTACTCTCAGGAGTATACTTCTGATACCCCAATCATAGCTGAATCGATTACGGATGCATAATCAAATGATATTCCAAACGTAGCGAAATCGGTTGCGGATGCAGCTTGCAATGATGCATTAATAATGAATTCATACAAAAATTACCTTAATCTTCTGGACCTGTCAATCCGCATTAGCAAAAAAGAATAGAAATTGAGAAATTTATAATTGAACGTAACCTGGACTTGGACATAGTGTTGCTACAGAAGACGTGGTGTACACCAAATTAAGTCGTCAAATTTAACCATTATCTCGTAAAGCAGAAGTGGGAACGACAATGGATTAATTCTCATCGGTTATACATATTACGCAGTATGTAAAAATTCAACTCGATTTAATAACAAGACATTGGGCCCGAGATTTTTCTGTGGGTGTCAGTATTTCTCTACCATCGCCAGACTCAAATTCGGTCATGGTATTTATCCTACCCATTTCTATACAATGGGCACCATATAGAACGGTGCGGGAGTGAGATGGCGGATCTAACCCATTTTTTCGTTGGATGCCGACCAAATCAAAGGCACATGGACATACTGATGAGAAAACTAATGAAAAGGGGCTCCAACTGCCCACCAACATCGTTAGACTCTGGCTACCAATGATAGAAATATCTTGGATATGGTGTTTAAGACAAACAGAGATTCAGATTTAATTCCTAAACTTAATTGTTTTGGTCCCTTTGATTATATCACCTTAAGTACAGTGGTCTAGTGCTTGATCCTGTTAGGCCCTTATTTAAAAAAAATTATTTAGCATGTTGTAGTGAAAACGCGCCGCTCCACAGTTAGGGGTAGCGTACATGCATGTTCAAGACTAACTACAATCCGTTATTTTAAATGAAAGATTGATATGTCTCATATGTTTGTTTTTGAATTACGTTTAGCATTGACGCCCCATCACAAAATAAATTCAAGAGCAAAGCGGTCGTTTTTAGGATTGACATAAATATTCGGGATAACTGAAAAATGTATACAATTAAAGAAACCTTAACCCAACTCTTTGAGAAACACAGTTGCACAGCCCGCAACATGTTGTGATCTTATTATTAAATTGACAATATTGTCTGTTCTCCATCACTTGTATTTAATGTCTACATTGACGACTATTAAGAGAGTCTGCCTTGCAAAATAAAAGGCCCATAAATAGACCTGCTGCTGCAATAGTGTAGCTATCTCTAAAGTTGGTATATTCATGGTGCATTTCATTTCATTCGAGAAGATTCCCAGAACAATAGAGATTTTTCATTTTTGCAAAAGTAATTAAATATACGACAGGTAGTTTCCATTCATCCATGTAAGATGTTGATTGCGCATCGGACGAATCCTTTTATTATTTTAATAGGGTGAAATACAAGAACGACGGTCCTCTATCTAGCTACCATCTCTTGGTTTTCCTTTTCCGATCAATTTCCTCCACCATCATATCATTACTTTTGGCTAAATAACGAACCACGACAAGCAATGGAAAGAAAGGCAAAGCAAAGAGGTCGTAAGTATGAGATAAATAGTATCAACCAAAACTCAGTGGCAGATTCTGCAATGTAGATAAGACGATGGTTCAGTCCTTTTGAAAGAAGTGGAATTATTCGGCAAAGGAGACAAAGTTACTTGCCAGTTATTTCAAACTAACACCTAGACCTTGTGATGCTGGTAGGAACGGGGAGTGCTTCGGAGTTAGCTAATACCACAGAAACCGTCCACACCATCTCGATCAAAACCGGAAAATGATCGATGAAAGCGGCTTATTAAACAATAAATTCCGGTTTCAAATTTTGTTTAACATTGCTATGAGTGTATGTTGCCGAGGTACTAAACCCAACAGCCAAGCAAAGATTAATCACATCCATGTTGTCATCCAATCGCATATTCTACTTATTTCTTGAGTTTTTCAGATTGAAAGTAGCACACAACTCACTTTCATCAAATTTTAGTTACATCTAAAAATAGAATTGGAAGATCAATTATTTAATATTTGACAATAGCGTTTTACACTCTTGTTGAATCCATGGCAATTATGCTGCACAATTAGTAACTCAATTAAGTTCTAGTATGTGAAAAGTGACGTTACATCGCGCATTCTTACTTTGGTCAACGAACAATACGTGAGAGTGAAATGAATGATCTAACATGCAGTGCATCATCTCGTCGCATCACAATTATTGAGTAAGAACAATTAAAGCCAAGTGTTACTTATAGTTGGTCGTGTAATTACTAATCCTGCATACTTTAATTGTTGAAAAACAGCAGCTGTGCGATAAATAACACGAATACTCTCGCAAACTTACGTAATTGTTCATTAACGTTATGGTAAAATTAAAGAAAGCTTAAAATAACCTTAGGTCGAATTCGAATTAACCACGCTATTTGCAGTACCTACATGTATTTTATCAATGTCTCAGTGCATCCAATGAATACATCAAAACATAAATAGTACAAAGTGCATAGTCGTATACAGCTCATCAACGCGTTCCCTGCATTCAATCTAAAGTTTAATGGCATTCTTATACGATCGACAATATAAATAGTAAGACTCGGCGTAATTGCCAAACAAGAAAAAAATCGGCGACTCTCCATCTTAATTGCCCGCAGTTACCCATACAAAGAAGCTTTAAAATACTCTCATCACACATATCTAACCAAATTCTACGTCAGTAACATCCTTAACGTTATTATTTGCATATGCCAAATTTACTAAATGCAAGTCGCATACCTTCGCACGAGACCACGTAACTAATTGAAATGACAGTCTGATGACACTGCAGACATGGTTGGAAAACTTAAATGAACATTTACCACCAAATCAATGACTACTGCAAATATAATAAACATTCCATTTTTTATAGATGCAACTACATTTCTGTAATGGTGTACAATATCAAATCCCACATGGCAACAAAAGAAGATTTAACGTATTGATGTTATTTGCTAGCAACAAAAATTGATTCATGCAAACTTTGACGTTCTCAATCTGAAAGAGGAGAATTGA